TATATATATATATATATATATAGTTAGCCAATTAATTTCTTTCTATTTATAGTAGAGACGGGGGTCTCACTCTTGCTTAGGCTGGTCTCGAACTCCTGACCTTGAGCAATCCACCCACCTCGGCCTCCCAGAGTGCTGGGATGACAGGCGTGAGCCACCTCGCTCAGCACCAGTTAGTGTTTTAGAGGGAAGGAGGGTAATAAACCTGAAGAAGAGGTGGAGAAGAAATTCATGACCCTGGCCTAGCAAGTAAGGGAAAACTCCATAAAGATACCTGTGGCTGATTCTTGAGCAAAGTCCACGTGAAGAGGAGGAGAAACGCAGAGCACCGGGGACTGCAGGGCCTGACTGTGGGGTGGGCACCAGCCCCAGAGCAGAGGCAAGTCTCTCCAGGCACCCAGGCCTGAGGCCTGAGCCCTGGATTCCAGACAGGCCTCAGTGCAAGCCAGAGGCCAAGGGAGGAGCCATTTCTCCAGCGTCTCTCCTGCCTGGCCCTCTGCCCAAGCCTCAGCTCCCCACCACCCCACCCCCGCACTGACCCTGGAAAGTGAGGGTCGGGGGCTGAACCACCAGCTGCTCAGGAGGTGACTTTCCTGAGAAGGGCTGCGCCACGTGACACAGGCTACTGACATCCACGCCTCCCTCATGCTCCAGAGCACAGAGCAGCCTGGAACTCGACAGGCTGTGTGGTTTCTGACTGACTGACTTTGCTCGCTAACTTGTTTCTACATGAAACCGGGAATTGTGCAGGGTCCTAGAGGAACAAAAGGCAGGGCATGCCCTACAGGCCCCTGTATGGTGGGGAGGAGCTAAACCGAAATTGCTAAGGGGTCACCAGGCATGGAGAGAGGCCTCCACATGTCGGACCCCTCCCTCCCTAGCAACTCTGCGGAGTGTGAATCATCCCCATTCTACAGAAGACGAGTTTGAGGCTCAGGGTGAGTGCCAACTTGCTGGAGGTCACAAGACCTAATGGGGGGCATGGCTAGGTTTTAGACATGGCATTCCTGCCTCCAAGCCTGGCACTACCCCCCACCCCCGGCACCTCCACATTCTCGAGGGCCAGTGCTTTCTTTGAGGGCTACATGCCCGATACAGAAGGGGCACAGTGGGGCCGCAGGGAGGTCTTGGTAGAAGCGGCTGGAATGCCGCGCTGAAGGAGCAGAGGGAGCAAAGCTGGCATACCGTGAAGCTGGACTGTGTGCTGGGAATGAGGCCATGTGCCCAATGAGTCCGGTTTAGCTGACTCTGTGGACTGTGGCAGGAGAATCGAGCTCATGCTTACGTGCCAGTCAGAGGCAATTGTCTCTCACCTCTGCCTTCTCTCTACATTTTCCTAATGAAGAGAGTTGGGGAGCCTGGGCCTTGCAAACTCAAACTCAAGTGTCAAGGCATGAAGGAAAACAAGGTTTCCTAAAAGTGTAAAAAGTTGGGAAACACTGGTTTGTAGATACAACACAGAGAACTAAAGTCACCCTGCAGGAGAAAGGGAGGACATAATGGGGTGCTGAAAGGTGGGAGAAGACGGACCAGCCCATGACATGTCAGATTCCCATCTCTAAGCAAGATACTTCTCCATGTAAGGCCCTTTAATGGGAAACAGAATGGGGGACTGTTTGTGCAGCATAACTCACATCCATCTCCACAGTCTTTTGTTTAAATTCCAAAGTTCACAGGAAGATCTATGAATAGAAATTCCCTGACTGCAAGTGGAGTATCCCAAGAAGAAAGGGCCTGGTTAGAGAATTGGGATGGCCTGAATTCTTAGATGGAAGCAAGAAAAAACATTTAGTTCGAGAGACAAGAAACCAGGGTAATGAGTGCCAAACTGATCTGGGAAAAGAGGCCCTGGGCTCCGGACAGAGGTTACATGGGGAGGGGTGTTTGGGGAAGGGCAGCAACAAGGGGCCAAGTGTCTGGATTCTGGGGATGAGCCTGGGATTAGAATATGTACAAATAGAAGAAAGAAGAGGATCCAGTCACAGGACAAAACAGAATTAGAAGGGGAAAGACTCTTTCCTGCCCACCTCACCACCACCAAAAGACAAATGAAGAGAGGAAAAGGAAATGAAAACTGTTCCAGGAAATTTCTCCCCCATTAACTAACTATGCTCAGGATATACCAAAATATTTTATGATTTGGAAAAAATGCATGCTTAGAACTTAAGACAGATCTTGTCTTGAAACCATCAGTAAAAGTAAAAGCAAAATTTTAAATCAGTGTTTTGTTTCCAGATCTGCCCCTCCCAACATCTCTTGCTCTCGCCTCCCATGGAGATCCAGAAACTTATCTCATACAGGACAGGAAAGGAGAAAAGAGTACCACAATAATCACTGAGCAACGTCTGTGAAGTGTAATTTCTGGCTAGCCCCCTACAATTCCTTCTGGAACAAAGAAGGGTAAAAATAAATTCAGTTATAACACACACACACCACTCGGTTAAGTCTGTCCCTGGCCTAGCTAGGTGTCCTGACCCCTGACAAGTGCCATGCCCTAGCATCCTGGTGCCCCTGTGAGAAAGCCAGTGGCTGTCCTGAGCGGACAGTCCCGTGGAAGGGTCAGGCAGAGGGAAGTACCAATGACAGGGGAGAGGAACTCTGGCTCACTCCTAGAAGGAGGAGAGGCTGTTTAACAGGGCCCAGAGCTTCCCCCCGGAGGTTCACAGCAGAACCGAGATGGCCTCTGTCAGGTCAGATAGTGTGGAAACAGCCCAGCCCTGGGCAGGCAGTTCAGTGTCTACCACTCCACACTGAGGCAAGCCCTCCCCACTCGGGGCTTCTGTAGCTTCCGCTCAAATTGAGAAAATAATCCCTATTCTATCTTCCTCACAATAAAGTGGTAAGGGAAAACTGATACAACAGACAGACCGCATCACATGATATAAATACTATACAACTACAACACAACTCCTTGGTACTTCCAGTGCTTGGAAGCACTCGTAGGCATTCACGGGATAGGATGGCCTCCCAGCGAGGATGGGGAAAGCCTTCTGACACACAGCAGGACCCCAGAGATGGCTGGTGATGCGTCCTGGGACCATACATTCCTGAGGGATCGCTGTGATTTCTGTGCCTAAGCAAAGACTGGCACCTGGAATTTGCTAGGCAATGCTGTGCAAGGTGACTCACCCATCCTGAGAGGAGAAATAACAACTAAGGGACACCAACGCCACCCAGGCCTGCCTGCCCAGCCCTCAGGCCACAGGTGAAGGGGTGGCCGGGAGGGTGGAGAAAGAAATTCAGGAGAGAAAAACGGGAGAGAAAGAAATTCAACAAAGAAAGTCAGGCATAAATACAGGATTTTCATTGTATTTTCAAAATACAGGATTTCATTCATGTTATTGTTGCCAGTCCCCAGTGAATGTGAGAGGCCCAGATATTACTCAACTATCAAGAGGTTAGAGATGCTAGAAGCCAAGTTTCCTGCTCCTCACCCAGTCCACCTTATCCTACTGTCTCTCAAAAGTCCCAACACCATGCTCCACCTCTCCTTTCTGCTGTTTATTGTCACTAGGAAGAGCAGACATCCTGGCACAGGTAAACCAGAGTTCAAAGAAGCAGGTAGGACATGAGAAGATAACTACAAACAGGTCTACTTAAGTGGAAACACTATCTGCCAAAATACAAAGGGTGAAGAGATGTCGGTGTGAAAAAACCTTTATCTTAAAAAGAAGGAAAGACGACCAGGATGTGGCACAGGAAGGAAAAGCCCAGCACTTACTCCAAAACAGGCAGTTCCAACTCCTAACCAGACACCTGGCCCTTGAGACTTAAACTTTCCTCCACCTCTCCTTAATCTGCTGCCTCAAAGGTGCACAATGAAATGGGACTGGAGAGCCAGGAGGGCCAAGATCGCATCTGGTAGAATCCCTCAATCTAATTTCTCCTTGGCGCCATTCACCTTTTCTACAACTTGACGATCTCAGGTATTGTTTAACAGCCACAGGATGAGACAAATTGAGGGCAGGCTTTTACTTAAGGATATCTAAAGCTTTTGCCAGCACACTAATTCAATAAAAGAACAGAACTCCTAATTCAGAGCTGTTGTGTGACAATTAAACAGACATATCAAAAATGTTACTGTTAAATATACATAGACCTGGATCCTTTCCAAAATCCATCATTATTTCACTTGCTTCTTATGACAACTTGCCAGGGACCTGGAAAGTTAAGTCATCCCCATTTTGTAGGTGAAAACGACATATGTAGGGTTGCATGTTGACTAAGGAAGTCAGAACTAGAACCTCAGTCTTGCTGATCCCCAAAACTGTGTTCTGTTCCTCTGCTCTTTTCATGAAGTTTCATGCCCTAAGCTCCCTTATAGGGGAGGGAAAAATAAAGACAATTTAGAAGGTTATCTAGACCAGTGGTGCCCAACCTTTTTGGTACCAGGAACCAGTTTCACAGAAGACAATTTTTTCATGGACCAGGGTGGCGGGGTAGGGTGTCTGTCGTGGGTTAAGGGGGCATGGTGGGGAGCTCAGGCAGTTTCCTGACAGGCTACGGACCAGTACCAGGCTGCAGCCTGGTGGTTGGGGACCACAGATCTAGACCATTCCCTTCTCCTTCCCCTCAGCAGTCCTATTCAGTTAGCTCCCCAAAACAGAGCAGCCTGCCTTTGCCTAGGTAATCCATTCCGAGTATTAGCCTAAACTGATTTGGAATCCTTTTATCTCAGTGTTGGAAAGGCCCTTAAAGGTAATCTACTCCAATCTCCCTTCAGAAGCCTGAATTTTTTTCATGTTCTCCTTGGCCTAACCGCACCAGCCTAACCTTACAATTGCCTTTGCTCACAAGCCCTTACGAGGTACTCCTCCAGCCTGGGTAAGGAAAGATTGGAAACAAGTCTATACCCAAAGAGCGTGAAGCAGAGGTGAAGCTTCCTGTTACCCATCAGAGTTAAGACTTCCAGAATGGTAGTGTCCCCAGACTTGATCTACTCAACACTTTCTGCACGGGCACTGCAAGACACTAAGTGGGAAATGAGACAGGAACCTTACCTTTCTCCTCTTTCAGCTGCTCCCCTGGAGATATCAAACCTCCATGCAGCACTCCACATTGCCATAACTAAGAATCCCAAAACAAATCCACCAAACAGAAGTGTAGCTTCTCTCCTCTTATCCAGGTCCCAAGTCCATGGCTGAGTGGACCCGGAAGGGGAGGAGTCTGGGGGGAAGGGGTGTGTCCAGGCCCCTCCCCCCCCCGGAGGCTTCAGTGTCCCTCTCTGGAGTCTGGTTACATCCCTTCATTCAGCTGCCTTATTAAGCTCAGAGTCTGATGACAGACAGATCCCAGATACTATCCCGTCTTTTGTTCAGGCAGAGGATATCATCCATTGTGAGGACTGGCCTATCTCTCTTCTGCGGAGACTCATGAGAAGAAACAGGTCTTAGAAACGGCATGGCCCAGGAGGCTGATTTCTGTGGTAACCTGCGGAACATTTAAACAGTATGTTTAATGTTCTAGTATATACTCTCTAATCAAGTATATGCCCCAATGGGTTCTAAGACTTTCTAGTTCCCACTTCTTACCTAAATTAGAGAGCTTTACTATGCTCTAGCATCAAAAACCCTTCGTCAAACACTCCAGAAGTTTATATAAATTACCTACCTCACTCACATATTGCACCCCAAAACAGTCACTTCATCAAGAGTGTGTGTGTGCTATATATGATTCAGGATAAAAGGAGGCTCGTATCTACTCTCCCTACGGAAAAGTAACCAGGAGACTTGCATTTCTTCTAAGAAATACAGAAAAGAATGTCCTCCTCCTGCCCTCCTCTTGTCTAAAGCGCCACACACTAATCGAATCTCCCAAGCTTCTTAGGGTGCTCAGCGTTTTAATCCTACAGTTCCCTTAGACGGAACTAAATCCTTTCCAGGCAGAGATGCTGGCACCTTCCACGCGCGTTCTTTCCTTCCTTCAACCCTCACCTCCCTCTCTGTTTCTAAAACTGTGCCAGGGATGTAATTCCCAATCTCCGTCAAACTCCTTCCCGGGGCCACCCCGAGAGCTCTCTTAGGATATCTGAGGCCCAATTCCTGCCTGCAGCACCCCACGGGGTTGCAAGTTCTCGGGAGCCCGCGCCTGTCGCCCCCTCCCCCTCCAAGAATTACTCCTAAACACACACCCCCACCCTTCCTTCCTGTAGGGGCGTGGTGTCCACATGACCTCCCCCTCCCTTCAATAATTAACTCCTCCCACCCGTCTCCTCCGAACCCCGTGCTCGCGGTTCACAGGGGAAGGGGGTGACCCGGCGACCCTCCTTACACTCCGACCTCTACTGCTCTGCCCTGCGGATGACCCTCGCCCTAACCAAGCCGGGTCGTTACCTGGTTCCCGTCCGCCCCGTTTCTGCTGGGAGCCACTGCCCGCCCCGGGTCGCAATCCAGGCCGCAGGCCCGGTCCCAGTCGCCGGCCCAGGCCCCACCCCCTCGACCCCCGGCGCCCCGGCCCTCCCCTCGCACTCCGTTCCCCCGCCCACCATCCACCACAGCCACTTCCGCCCGGCCTCCGGAAGCGGGCCTTCGGCAACCGCCGCTTCCCCGCATCCGCCTATATTTCTACCCCACGCCCCCCGCCCGTCACCACCGCCGCTACGGGAGCAAGGGAAGTGGGTCTGCAGGGCTCGAGGCTTTTCTACAGTCACTGTTCACGGGACTGAAGACCGGGTGTGGGCAGATTCAGGTCTGGGTGAGAACGGAGCTGGGGCGCAGCGACCAGACAGGAAGGGGCGGGGCAAAGGCTGTGGCCGAGAGCGGGAGCGCGCGTCACGTCGAGCCCCGCGGGAAGGAGCACGCATGCGTCGCGGAGCCTCAGCCGGACGCCAGCGCCAACACGGGTTGCGCCTGACCGGGCGGAGCTTGGGCGGGAGGAGGCGGGGCGAGGAGCCCGGAAGTGGGGGCGGAGCCTGCGCGGGTTGCCTAGCAACGGCCCGCAGGTCAAGGTTTGTGGAGAAGCCAGTGCGGCTCCGGTTCCGGGCGCCGGTCCTCCCGACGGGGACCGATTCAGAAAGCACCGAGGCCTGTGTTTACCTGTCCCTCTGCAGAGAGGTCTGTGTAGCAATACCAGAAGAAGGCCGTTTCATGTTCGTCGCTTACTCTCTCGCTGCCCCTCTTAAAGAGGCAGGACCTTCCTCGGTCTGGAAAAGGGCAGAAAAGGGTGGGCGCCTCCGCCGCGGCCGTGGGCTCCGCGTTCGCCGCCGCGGTCTCCGCGAGTGTTGACACGGCGCCGGCGCGTCGGGCCGGGTCGCTGTCGCCGAGCGAGCCCCGCTTCCGACTAGAGAGTTGGAGAGGCCTCGTCCTTGGTCTTTTGGCATGTTTCTATCCATGTAATTTCTCCGTATCACGAAGAGTGACTAACTTGAAAATTTTCAGCACTGAGAATAGAGTAGTTGCTGGATCAGCAGTCTGGAAATGATTGTTTTGTTTGGAAAGTTGTCATAACATTGGAAACTTTAAAAAAAATTATATTGCTACTCCACTCAAATATACAACAGGTTCGCAAATAAGTGTGTTATCTTCTCGCAGCCCTAAACCTACTTCACCTAGCTGTCTTTCCTACCACAATTACTGGCAATTCCATCTACTCAGACCCAAACTGGGAAAAGCCACCTTCGAGCTCTCCCTCACATCCTCTACGCAATCTAAGTGGAAATCCTGTTAACTCTACCTTCAAACTATGTCTAGAATCCTCCAACACCTCGGCATACTTTTTTAAATTACTAGTAAAGTCGAACCTGTTCTTATGCATCACTTTTGCAAACTGCCTACTCATATCTTTTGCCCATTTGGATTCATCTTTGCCTTACTCATTTGTAAGCACTCTTTATAGACTATCAGCCCTTGGTACCTGTGTCACAGCCATTTTCCCAGCTTAAAGCAGGCTGTTAAGTCTGTTAATGTGCTCTTTTGACATTGCAGGAGTGCTAGCTGGGCCAGAAGTCTGGTCTCCTGTGCATGTTCTGCCTTCAGAATAAATACTTAGGAGTAAGCTAGAGATTTTTGGTTCAATTACTCCATCTGGAGGACCTGCAGGCGGAGTGTCCGCAGGCAGTCTCCTGGACTGGGATGGGGTAGCCTATAGGGACTGAACACCTGGAGAATATGGCCACAGGGCTGTTATACCAGGTGCTTCCTTACCATGGAAGTGTCAGGTCTCCATGAGCAGCAGCAGGCAAGTGCCTTCACCTCTCTTCTCCTTCCAAATTACCTCAAGGGCATCTAATTAGCTGAACCTGATTATGAGGAGTTAGATTTTCGACATATTCTATTCAACTAGACAGAGGTAGCCAGAGACCAAGGGGCTGGTCCCCCATCCCCAGCAAGCCCATGTGTACTGGGGCTTCATCCTGGTTTGCTGAGTTATCTGCTCTGGTACTCATTCCAGTCAGTGCAGCTGATAGTAAGATTTAATAAATGGCAGTAAGAGTCTACCCCCATTAACCTTGGTTTTCAGTGTATTCTTGGTCATTAATCCATTCACAAGGACAGAGCCCTTATGACCTCTCCCCTCTTAAAGGCCCCACCTCTCAATGCTGCCACATTGGGGAATACGTTTTCACATGGGTTTTGAAGGGGACATTCAAACCACAGCAATGCCCAAATACACATCCTCAGGCCTCTGTCTTCCAGACCCACATACTTAACTGCCCGCTTGGCTTTTCAGCTTGGTCCCCTCAGAGATACCTCTAATTCAAGTGTCCAAAACTTACCTCACGATGTTCCTCCTAGCTCCTCTCCTGGCACTCTCATTCTCAGGAAATGGCTCTATCATTTGCTGTGTCAAAAACCCAGAGGTCTTCCACAAAGTTCCCACAGCCAGTCAATCCATAAACCCTGTATAGTTCAACTGTGAATTATTTCATGTCTCTACTTGCTCGCCTTCTCCTTTGGCCTTGTTGGTTTTCTTTCCTGCATCCCTTTTCTTTTACATCTGTCTTCATGTGTGATTCATTAGTCATTGCACCATTTTCTAAAATCCACTCCCCACGAGGTGAGGGTGGACTTTTCTGGAACACTGAAGACAAATTTCCCCCATCCCCTTTTTCATGTTCCTGTGACTTTTTAAGATTTCTGGAAATTTTTTTTTGTTTTAATCCAGAGCTGCACTGCAGTTACAACACTGAAGGGGACATGACAATCCCAGACATCACCATAGCAAAGGTGTAAAGCTGAAGACGTTTTACATACGCCATAAGGAATCCAAGCAAAACCCAGAATATTAAACAGGGACTTGAAGGAGGCAGCAGAGGACATTTGGGAATTTCAGTTCATTTCTATAATGGTAACAAGGGAAAAAAAGACCCCACCCCGGGGCCCATGGCTGAACTCACTGCTGATTAGATAACATCCTCATAGTTGATTGGTTTTGTAAAGCTTGCTGTTGATTGGTTGCATTTTGAATCCCACTGCTAATTGGAAACTCCTCATGCTCATAGTTGTTTGTGTGTAACCCCAAGAAGTATATAAAACTGGAGGAAGCGGTGCTCAGAATTTGGTGGCATTGGCTGGGCTTGGTGGCTCACGCCTGTAATCCTAGCACTTTGGGAGGCCAAGGCGGGCGGATTGCTCAAGGTCAGGAGTTCGAAACCAGCATGAGCAAGAGTGAGACCCCATCTCTACTATAAATAGAAAGAAATTAATTGGCCAACTAATATATGTAGAAAAAATTAGCTGGGCATGGTAGCGCATGCCTGTAGTCCCAGCTACTCAGGAGGCTGAAGCAGTAGAATTGCTTGAGCCCAGGAGTCTGAGGTTGCTGTGAGCCAGGCTGACGCCACGGCACTCACTCTAGCCTGGGCAACAAAGCGAGACTCTCTCAAAAAAAAAAAAAAAAAAGAATTTGGTGGCATGCCCCTCTGAGCCTGCTGGTGGAATAAAGGTTGATTCTCCGACCCTCTGTGTGCCGCTTGGTTCTTTCTCAGGTCAGTCACTGTTAACACTTGCTGGAACAATGGGATTTAAGTACAGTTGAAAATCACAGCCTGTCTTGCCTCATTAGACAATGAAGGATGTACTTACTGCCTTATGCCTGGTCTTGCCTTATTTAATCCTTGTATTATTATTTTTATTTTGAACATTTCTCCCCAACTAGATTATGAGCTTCTTAAGGGCAGACACCCTGTTTACCTTAAAACACTCATATATTTCTTTTTAATTTTTTTAAACAACAAATGTTCTCACATTTCTGGAGGCTAGAGGTCAAAGATCAAGATTTCAACAGGATTGGTATCCTCTGAGGCCTTTTTCCTTGGTTTGCAGGTGGCCATCTCCTCCCTGTGCCTTTGTATGGTTTTTCCCTCTGTCTTCATACTGTCTTTTTCCTGTGTTTGTGTCCCAATTGTTAGAGGTCCGGAGCTGAGCGGGAGACACACAAAGACTCGTGTGTAGCAAAGTGCCGTTTGAGCACCTGGGTGCAGATGGGTGGAGGCTGAAAAGAGCGTCCACGCCGAGGGGGGGGAGCCTTGGGTTTTATAGAGGGTTTTTCTGGGGAGAGTAACTGGGCCAGAACAGCTGCTGTAGTCAATTCTTTCAAACCACCAGGAGGGATAGGAAAATACGTTCCCTTTTGAATTCCATTCCTTTATCTCCTTAGGGGTCTGGCAAAGGCTGTGCCTAACACCCCTAGAAAGGGTAGAGAGGTGGGTTTTATAGGAAGTTTGGGGAGGGTGAATTCCTTAAGCCTGACACTAATCTTCTCTTCTTATAAGGACACCAGTCAGATTGGATAAGGGCCCATTCTAATGATCTCATTTAACTTAATTACCTCTTCAAAGGCCCTACCTAACTCCAAATACGTTAACATTCTGACTTGTTAATACACACGAATTTTGAGGGAGGACATGATTTAGTCCTTAAGCCACATATGTAAGATCAGGAGAATTTCTGTATTTGTTCCATCAGTTAGTATCTACTTGTGGGCTCAGATCCCAGCTCCTCTGGTTTCTGTGGACTCTAGAGATTCAATTTCCTCTTCATAAAGCGAAGATAATGAAACCTGTCCTTCAGTCTTGGCCAGCTATTCATGAGGACCAGGTGAAACTATGGGTGTGAGAACCCTTTTAAAACTGGAAAGAGCTCTGTAAATATCTGTGGCATGTAGAAGTGCACAGATAGCAATCAGAAAGTGCCGGGGTGCTGATATAAAGTGAGCTTCCAGGCCATGTACTCTCCATGGCAAGCCCTGTATGTCCCCTCCCTAAGGAGGCTGCTCCTGTTTCTCCCCTGGCGTCTCCCCTTTTCAGGGCTCCTAAAGAGTGACTATCATAGAGAAAGCCAGTCTGTTGTAACAATATAAGAAGTTCTGGCCATCACCAGGTTTGGGTTTCTTTTTTTTCTTTTAAGTCTTGAAGCAGTCAATAGCCAGGTCACTAAAACAAGCCTGACCCGCAGAGAGGCCCAAGATGGCTCCTGCCTTGCTCTGAGAATAACTGTAGTGAAAAGTCTCTAGAGGAAGTAAAGTGGGGTAGGGGGTAGAGGGGAAGAAGGGCTTGTTCTGGCCTGTTCTCAAAAAGCCCTTGATGTATCTTTCCATTGTTGTTTGCTCTAACAGCTAACTGCCAAGTTCCACTTCTGTGACCGCTTGCTTGCTCAAGAGGGTGGCAAAGTTTCAGTCAACCTGCCATCCTGCCCCTGCTAGTGTGATTAAGTTTATAACCCTTGCATAGCTGCCAGCTCGGAAAGTATAAAAAGAAAGTAAAGTCTTTGTTTGGGGCTGCTTCTCCCTGCTTGCATAAAGAGGTGATAGCACCTGCGCAGGTAAAAATAATTTGGCTGATTGGATTCTGGTATCTGAGTCCCCTTGATCCGCTGGTTTACAACAGTCTGAATTTACATTTGAATCGGGAGTATTTGTCCAGGTTAGTACTTTTCTTAGACCAGGTCCATCAGCTGGGGCAGGTCCCGTTACTCAGGGAGTCTTCGAAACCATGGACACTGATGGCCGGAGGCTGAGGGTTCCTGTGCCGGGCCTCCACTTGTGTGTGGTGGGGGAGAGTCAGGGAGGGCATGGGGTGCAGAGGGAGAAGGGTAGGGGAAGGGAGGAGTCTAGGGAGCACAGTCAGAACTTCTAGGGCAGGCGTCCTCAAACTACGGCCTGCGGGCCACATGCCGCTCAAAGAGGACATTTATCCGGCCCACCGGGTGTTTTTGCCGCTGCTGCCTGTCCTGCTTAGCAGCCAACTCATCCCAGGCCCACAGTGTGCACTCGCCAATGGTCTGAGGGACAGTGAACTGGCCCCCTGTTTAAAAAGTTTGAGGACCCCTGCTCTAAGGGATTTCTGGTCTCGTGGAGAAAGGAAACTCAGTCCCAAGAAATAACAAAAGAAACAGGTAAAAAAAAAAACAAGTCAGTTCAGAAGTGGTGATGTAAAGAAGTGTTGCCTCCTGGGAGTAGGTGGGTCACCAGCAAGGTGTTGAAGGCAACCAGGTGAGAAAAGAACTGCTGGTGTGGGGCTCATAAATCCTTCAATACAATCAAGGTTGGGTAGGAATATGTATTCTCCTGATAGTCGAAGCTGGTTCTGGTGTTGGGAGCTTCGATTCTGGTTCTCATTCTACTGACCAGCTCAGCACACACTATGACCACATTCTGTAGGCATCTCCTTGTGTAGAAGCAGTTGAAAGTACTTTGGGGAAAACAGTTATATCTATTTCCCCCAACGTTAATTATAACCTTATAGTTCCTTTGTCTTTTTCAAAATGAGTTTTAAACCAGAACCATTTTTAATTATTAGAAACATTAAATGATTGCCAGTAAAAATCTTTATTAATAATAAAAGGGGAATTTCAACTATTAATCTTTCAAAGTACTATTCCGTGATCTTTTGCCAGGTGTGTAATTCATTTTTCTTCCTTATTTTGGGAAAAAGGTGTGGTCCACATGTGGCCCCCACTCAGAACTAACAGTAGGTTCCTTCAAAAACAATGGAAGACACTTTAACCCCCTCCAGATGCTCATTGGGTGGTGTCTGGAAACTGTTCAAGTAAAAAAAAAACCAAAAAAAAAAAAAAAAGCCACAGGCTCCTAGGAGTTAATGATCCACTGTGCATGTGACTTCCCAGTTGTCTCTGACTTGTGGCAGTCATATCTGCATTGTGACACACCACAGACTGATACCCTAGGAACTATAAAAGAGCTGACATTTTCAGATGGCTGGCCTGCCTGAATAAACCAGACCCATCCGAAGTCATGTCTATGGGCACAGCAAGCTTATCTGCTTGCATTCTGCCATGCCTTTTTGAGCGGGTGAAAAACAATTGGAATTTCTGAAGAGAATTGGGTGTAATGTATGAAATGGGCCAGATCTACTCAGCTTCTCAATCCAAAATATTCCAAGGAGAATATTCCAAGACAAAAATCTTGATTTACCTTTCTTGGCTTTCTCAATATCCGAAACAGGGAGTTGGTTCCAGGGAAGAGATGAGGCATGGCTGGCCTGAGGGGTGGGTGGGAAACCCCAGGCCCTTCTACCTCAGCCTGGGGCACCACCTCTCCCTTCACCTGCCCCGCAGAGTCCTCAGACTTTTTCACCAGCTCAGATGCCACTCTCCTTGAAACTCCCCGCACATCAGAACTTTGCTTTGCTTTGTATTGGAATTCGTTGTGGGACGGCAGTCCCCGGTCTTAACTCCTTTCTGTATTTCTCTTTTCTGTACCACCCACAGCAAAGTCTTGAGGGGACGAGTGGACATGCAGCAGCTGTGTTCCGGCAAGTGGAACGGCTAGTGTTACAGCTCTTGCTACAGCGCTTGACCCGGGGAAGAACCGAGCGGCAAACGGAGAGTCGGAGAACAGTCTTTACTCCTCCAGAAGGCTCAGCCAACTTCTGACTTTTGACCCCCCACTTCCTTGTTCTCCTGTTTTTTATACCCTTGGTAGGACTCACAAAGCGCCAATCAGCAACAAGCTTTAACATCCAATCAGCAACAGCGGGTTCAGAAGTGTCGAGTCAAGACCATGCAGCCAGTGCGGCCTGAGGATGGGAGCAGGGTTAGGGTTAGGGCAGCCTGGGCACGAGGCCCGACCGTGGCGGCCTGCCCGGCCTCTGGCAGCCCTGCAGCCGGCCATGGGATGCCCAGCGGCGGGGCGGCTGGTCCCTGTGCCCGCACT